TCATATTTCTTAATGAATATATGAAGGTAGAAATATTCAAGATAAGCCAAATTTCACTATTTCTTTTTTAATTTTTTAATTTATATATTATATAAAAAAAAATTAGAAAAAGTTGGCCCATATCCAACGACTTCGCCTTAATTTCCAAGTAAGCCAACGTAACATAAAAAGTCCAGAATCTCAATATCTGTGCCCCCACCACAAACTTGTCCATGCCTTGTTGTTTCTTCCCCAGTCAACATCACCATTCAATTCTCCTTCATTTTAATTTTTATTAATTTTTTACTTTTTATTTTTTTATTTTATATATACTAAATACAAATATACAATCAACATCAATTCTTACACCGCGCCATTGTACTTACACATGCGTATACATTAGTAGCCAGCGTGATATCCAAGAACTTCAATTTCTTTTTACTAGTTTAATTAAAAATCAAAGGGATCCTACGTTAGCAATTTTGAAAGTATGATCAAATCTAATAAATTTTAGGGTAAATTACGGCACATATGAGGTAAAGTCAAATTATAAAAAAAAAAATTCATGTCTGGGTAATTACAATCACACCCCTCAACTATAAATCTTCTTACATGTTTACCAATGCAATGTCGAATTGAGTAAAATTTTCTACATTGAGTGAAATATTCTCCAATTTGTATCCGTTTTACCACGTTCGAGTTTCATATTTTGAAACAAATGACAATAAAATGTGTCTATTGACTTGTAAATATCAGATTGTTGTATATAAAAAAACTACATTTTTGCACAAATCGAGTACAAACAAGAGAACATTCCACCGAATTCAATAGATTCTATTAAATTTAACGCTATAAAGATGAATGTATAAGAAAATTCATAGTCGAAGATAGCATCAAAATAAAAGGTTTTTTTTGTAATTACACAAAAATATAATACGAAAAGGAAAAGCCACACGCCGGCGGCACGCCACCTGGGAAAGGTCCTTCCAAACATATGAATCCGAGCCGAACGTACATGCAAATCAGAGCATGTATAATATTAATTCCCAAAAAAACCCCTCATTTTTGTTGCGTTTATTAATTCATGAATATTAATTAATATATAGTTGTTAATAGAAGTCAAAGAAAGGGCCTTTACACTGGTACGCGTTTTCAAGAAACAGTCGTCCCCTATTTATTTGTTGCACAGTCACACCACCACCTCCTTTTCAGACCCTTATCTCTCTCTCTCTCTCTCTCTCTCTTTCTCTCTCTTCCTCCCTTGCAATTTACTACTACAACTCTCTCTCTCTCTCTCTGCATTTTTTTTTATTGTCCCAACTGCGTGCTTATTCAACTTTCCCCTCGTCTTTTCTGCGTTTGTGTGCGCTTGACCGAGTCAACTCGCTCCGTTGATTCAAAGAAACTCGTTCGTTCTGTTGGATTGGATTACATAAGAATCGCTGCCACTTTGTTTAATTTGAGGTTTCTGATGAAATGATCGAGCTTTGGAGATCTAGAAATCGTACCTTGTCTGCATTTCTGGTTTGCTGCCTTTATTTGCTCAACGATAGTTTTTGCTTGTCTCTCAACCATGAAGGTATGATTTTTTTCTTTCTTTTTTTTTTGATGGGTTTTGTGAAAACATTTAAAGTTTTTTTTTTTTTGTTTGGGTTTTTGATTTTTTTTTTTTGAAATAATTAGGTGTTGCTTTGCTGAGATTTAAAGAAGAAATTGAGAGTGACCCACATGGGGCTTTGTCGAATTGGATCGATGAAGTTGGAGTGGAGACTCCTTGTTCTTGGTTTGGAGTTCAATGCTCTCAAGGCTATGTTGTTATTTTGTAAGTCTCTCTCTCTCTCTCTCTCTCTCTCTCTCTCTCTCTCTCTCTCTCTCTCTCAAGGATATATATGTTGCTATATATATATTTCTGGGAAATATTGGAGTCAAGATATGAATTTTGAAGTTTTATCTGATTACTAGAGCAGCTATGAAATGATATAGTTGGATTTTGTATTGGAATAATTTTGATTTAACCGACATTTTTCTTGATTTTTTGTTTTGAATAATTACCACATTAAGGAAAGTTCGAAACGAGAGTCGATTTAGAACTTGGATTTGAGGCTAGTCTCTACGAAATATTAAAAAGAAAGTAGCCTTTCTAACTTTGAAAGATGATGCAGTTTCGGATTTTTTGGGTCGAGTTCGGTATCGGTTTCGGGTTTTCGGTTTAATTTCACAATATTCAAGATTTAAGTTACATTTGAAGTATCGAATATAAGTTGGCTGATATAAAAGGATTGTATGAAAAAAACATTCGAAGGATACTTTCTCTTACGCCTTTGGGTTATAATCTGCACTAGTTAATACGGAAAATTCAGAAATTCACGAAAAATATCCGATTCTTGAACTTATATTATCGAAACTACTATATGCAGGAACCTCAAGAATCTGTGTCTGCAAGGTACTCTTACTCCTCATATAGGCAACCTAATTCACATGAAGTCTATGTAAGACACAAAATTTTTCTCTCTTCACGAATTAATATCTTCATTTTCATCAATTGATTTTTCTTTTTTTTTGGTAGAATGTTGCGCAACAATTCGTTTTCCGGATTAGTTCCAGAAGAAATTGTAAATTTAAAAGAATTGGAGGTGTTAGACATTGGATATAATAACTTCAGCGGACTTCTTCCATGCGATCTAGGCAACAATTTGTCGTTGACTATTCTGTAAGTTCGCAATAAAACTCGCTCCAATCTTTATATAAAACCCCCCCATTTTCGTGTCCTTAAATAAAACGTGCTTATTTTCGTATAATGTAGTTTACTGGACAACAACGAGCTTCTACGCAGTACAAGGCCCGAAATTTACCTTCTTCAAAAGCTATCCGAAGCCCAAGTCGAGGATAGCCTTTTATCCGTATCCAAACACTCCCCATCTTGTAATAGCCTATTAATGTCATGGTAAATCTATTCAAACTTATTTTCCTTAATAAAAACACGATTTTTCCTGTTCGTTTGCATGATATTCGTTTATTTTTCTTTTGCAGGAATTCATTGAAAACGAAAAAAGTTTCAGCACGGAAGCTATTACAACAAACTCCTAGATCCCCATTGTTTGTATTTCGTCCTCCACCGACACCCCCCCGTGTATTTGTGCCACCTAATCCATTTTTCAATTTCACCCCCCCTCCTCCAACTCCGACTCCGACTCCACCTCCAACTCCACCTCCAACTCCAACTCCATCTCCATCTCCATTAACACCGAGTTCTTCACCTTCACCTGCTAATCGTACTACTACTCCTCCAACTCCACATATAAATCCAGCAGAAACACCTCCTACCCCACTGAGTAAAAAATCCAATTCGAATAATCGATTAATAATGTCGGCAGCCATTGGCGGTCCGCTATTGCTTCTAATTCTAATCTTCGGGATCTTCATTTATCGAAGCGGTAAGGTTACTTCTGTCAAGCCATGGGCAACAGGATTAAGCGGACAGCTGCAGAGAGCATTCGTTACCGGTACTTCTTTCACTTCATGTCGGTTAAATCATATATTCATTATTCAAGAATTTAACGAGGCGGACACTCAAAAGGGGTCGACCTAATTTTAACCTTTTTTTTTCTGGGTTTTTTCTTTTTCTTTCAGGGGTGCCGAAACTAAAGAGATCCGAACTTCAGGCTGCGTGTGAAGATTTTAGCAACGTGATTGATGCTTCGTCGGTTTGTACTTTCTATAAAGGTACATTGTCGAGTGGTGTCGAGATAGCAGTTGCGTCTATTACAGTAACTTCTGCAAAGGACTGGTCGACTAGTTTGGAAGCTCAGTACAGGAAGAAGGTAAATATAATCTCTCATTATATAGTTTTCATAAACATAAAACATATTTTTATTTTCAAGAATCTTTTTTTTCTTCTAAATTTAATTCAATTTTCTTTTTAATCTTCGTCACAGATCGACACGCTAGCAAAAGTGAATCACAAGAATTTCGTTAGCCTACTCGGCTATTGTGAAGAAGAGGAACCGTTCACCAGGATGTTGGTTTTCGAGTATGCTCCTAACGGAACTCTCTTTGAGCATATACACAGTAAGTGCTTAAATTTTCTTTATTTTAGGTATAATCGGAAAAAAAAAATCATCTACGAACCAAACATACCCCTAATTTATTTTATTCTATTTACTAATGATCAATTCCGTGCAGTAAAAGAAGCCGAACACTTGGACTGGTCAACTCGACTGAGAATAGCAATGGGGGCGGCCTACTGCCTGGACTACATGCACCAACTAAACCCGCCGCTACCCCATCGAAACCTAACCTCCTCACTAATCTATCTAACCGAAGATTACGCTGCAAAAGTATCCGATTTCATCACTCTAGAAGAAGCTTCTTCTACTTCTTCTTCGTCAGCCAATCAGATGCAACCGAGTATTGAAAGAAACGTCTACAGCTTCGGTGTCGTACTCTTCGAGATGATGACGGGTAAGCTTCCCTATACGACGGGCAGCGATACTCCGGACGACAGTGCGTCGGATTATCTTGGAGCAGCGGGGCCGCTCAGGGAGATAGTGGACCCCACTTTAAGGAATTACAGAGAAGACCAACTTGAAATGATTGGTGATGTGATCAAGTGGTGCACGGATTCCGATCCGAGAAAACGGCCTTCAATGAGAGAAGTTTGTTCGAGGTTGAGGGAGATAACTGGGGTTGGACCCGATGGGGCGATTCCGAAATTATCGCCTCTTTGGTGGGCTGAACTTGAGATTCTGTCAAATGAAGGTAGCTAAAATGGGATTTTTATATAGAGACTTGTTTTTGTTTGATGTTTTATTGTATGTGGAAAAGTGTTTTTTTTGCTGCTTGTTTAGTGGTGTGGTGGTAAATGGTAATATGTATATATTGATGGCTGGGGGATAAAATGGGGGTAAATTTGTAATTTTGGTGTTTTTGACTAATTATATTTGTGAATGATAAAGATATATGGGTGCAGATGCACTTGAAAAAAATATATGTTTTATTGTCAAAAGAAATCATAATTAAGTTATATTTTGATGCATGCACTTGAAATCTGAACTTGGACATATTTTATAACCATCTTTTTGAGGGGTTATAATTTTATGGAATATGATTTTTTTTAGGGTAAATTACACTAAAAAAAAGTCTTCTTGTGTGAGTAATTAGTAATTACAACTATCTATAAACTATGAATATTCTTACACGTTAAATTTTACAATGTCAAATTTATTATAATTTTCTAGATTATGTAAAATATTTTCAAGTTTGTATCCGTTTTATCCCATTCAAACTCAATATTTTGAAACAAGATGGTTATAAAATGTGTCTCTTGGTTTGTAAATATCAGATTGTAGTGCATCGGACACAAAGCGAGTACAAATTACAGAACATTCTACATAATCTACAAAATTTTGTTGGATTTTGAGGGGTTATAATTACCAAAACATGAGAGATTTTTAAGTAAGCTTATTTTTAAGTAACCCTTAAAATTTCACGGAATCTAGAAGATCATAAAATGAATTTGACAATAGTTATTTTGAGGGGTTGTAATTCCCCCAAACATAAGGAATTTTTCGTAATTTGACATTAATTCAAGGGATGACGGTAAATTTACCAAAAAATAAATAAAACCCCACGAATAACTATTTAAAAACAAAAGATTAAAAAAATAATGAAGAAGTCTACAAAGTCCACAAAAGGGAAAACAATTAATTAAAAAATTAAAGGATCCGTGGATGATATTAGTTCAGGGGTAACATAACTATTGAAGGTGGCTGTCACGTTTGGGAACAATTAGGAAACACAAAAACATTTATCCAAATAAACATTTAGTTGTCCCCACGTTTATTCTCATAGTAATATTCTCATTCAAACATCAAAACAAACTATCTATATATACTAATCAACACACTCACCATTTCACAACACAAACTCCACAGCAAAAACAACATCTCCATAAGAAAGAAGAAAAGAAAGAAAGAACAAAATGGCACTCACCCAACTCCTCCCCATCATTCTCCTCCTCTCACTAGCGGCAGTCCACTCGACGACTGCCAACGAACTGCCGAAACCGGCTGAGAAGGTCCTTGATGTGGTGGTGGAAGGGGTGGTGCACTGCCAGAGCTGTGGCAACTACGGTACGTGGGCCCTCTCCAAATCCAAGCCCATCGAAGGTGCCACCATCAGCGTTATCTGCAAAGATCACAGGAATCGAGTCAGCTTCTACAAAGCATGCAAAACCGCTAAAAACGGCTACTTTTACGCGCAGCTTAAAGGGTTCGTGATGAGCCACTCTTTCTTGGATCATCCATTACATGCATGCAAAGTGAAACTGGTTTCTTCTCCAATCACAACATGTAACCTTCTTACAAATGTCAATTACGGACTCTATGGGGCCCCACTTCGTTATGAAGACAAGAAAATTGTCGGAACTAACTACGAGGCTATTGTATATGCCGCTGGACCGTTGGCTTTTCGTCCTGCTACTTGTGCTCCTAAGTCCTAAGGCACTACCTTGAATTGATTAATAGCTGCTGTCTTAATTCTGAGAGAACTGATGAAGCTCTATTTGATTTTTTTTTTAAATCTAGCATTTGATTCTGTAAGCGGCATATCATACATAAAGAATCTTCCTATAAAGCAGCTTCTTGAATTAATGATCAATTTAACTATTTTTCCTGTATTTATGCCTTTTACGCTATATGGGAGTGTTATAATCTGAAAATATCGAGTCCAAATTATACCAGACCATAGCGCATACTAAAAAAAACTAAATGATCAAGTTAACAATATCCAGTGGAAACTAAAAAGTCACACTTACAGGATTGTTAGAAATCCATTGGCATAGCAAACAATTTGTTGATTTCATTCATTGCCTCTTTTGTGCAAATAGTTTGTTCGAACAAATCACTCCCTTTTCCGGTAGACGAGCTTGGCAAGGAGCTGTCTTGTTGATTTTCTAATTCATCATCTGGAAAAATCAGAAATTCAGCGTGATTGTTCTTCTTCACGTTCGGCCCTTGGTCTCGCTTCTTTGGGCTGCATTTCTTTGCAAATTCTATTGGGTTTTCATCTTCAGCCTTTTCATTGTTTGGTTCATCGTCGGGAAGTATCAGAAAATCTCCGAAATTGTTACTCACAGGTGCTTTTTCGGATTTCTTCGCCCTGCTTTTTCTTGTAAACTCAATTGGCTTTCCGAACATGCTGTTAATATCTTTCATAGCCTCTTTCAAATTGACGGTGGGGTCCACTAGGCCATGGTGCCAAACATTTTCCACCTCCGGTTCATCCGAAATAGTCGATCCCACAAATCTATACACAACTGTATCATCTCTGAATCCACCTTGGTTCGTTTTCCTAGGGTTAGAATCTTTCAAACATTCTTGATCGTTCGGTCTAGCAAACACAGAAGCACCGTTGGTTTCTTCACCATCAACATATATCTCAAATGCTTCGTCCGAAGGCGGATTATCACCAGCTATTGGTAGATCCTTTGACGAGGTCTCTGTGGTTTCATCCATGAAAATCTTACATTCGTTTTTCAGTTTACCAGTTTTGGATTGATTTTTACTTGTTCTGCGAGCAATTGATGGCTCTAATGGCTGCTGGAACATGCTGTTGATGGCATTCATGGCCTCTTTAGTGTTGATTGTGGGCTCCACAAGACCGTGATGCCGTGCATCTTCCGTTTTGGATTTCCCAACAATGGCGGTATCTACAAACTTAACCACAACTGTATCGTCACTGCAAGATTTTCCGTTTTTCTCTTTCTCCACTTTTACATCGACTCCATTAGAATCAGTCACCACGGCCTTTCTAAGAAGTTGATCGTTGAGTAACCCGATATTACTAGAATTTGCTGCCATTCGATTATCATGATTCAAAGATCCTCTGTTTGTTTCCCCTACCTGAAGATAGCAGTATATGGAATCATAGTTAGGTAGTGATGAAATCTAACCAATAATTGACGAGGGACTATGCAAAAATGGAACAGTAAAAACCTGAACTCTCTTAATTTTATGTCGCTTTATACGATGAAGAAACTGCTCGTACGACTTTTGCAACTCGTCAGCAGGCTCTGCAAGACTGTACAAGTGAAACAATAATTAACTAAAGGTGAGGTTATGCACTATTCGTGATTTTTGAAAAATAGATACTCTAGAAATTTGGAATAGAATAACCATAACAACCAACAACATTGCATAATATAGATGTCCTGCTCCAAAAACCAGATAAGTTTATATTAAATTCAAATTCGTACACACGTAGTCAAGGAAAAGGCGATCGTTCTAATATTGCTCATGTCATTAACCAAGAAAGGTTCATATCATATTTAACCAGTCTAGACCATGTATATAGTTGCGATCACTTCCCACGATCAAATGTTACAATTAAAAAGGTAACAGCGGATTAAAAACGGCTTACTTCTGCACTCCCAAATGATAAATCTTCTCAGCCGCATCAAACTTCTTGGTCTTCTCATAATAGAGAGCATAAGCTTGATAAAACAAAGACTTCTTCATCCCAATCTTATTCATCTCCATAGTCCTCAAAACTTCTTTCGGATCATCCACAAAATCCATCTACATGACAGGACACGAGAAAATGCATAAGAATCCTTTCAATAAATCATTTACCATATTGTACAGTACAGTATTCTGACTCACAAATTGAAATCCTAAAAAATTCTGATTTAGAAATGCTCCATTCTAATATGAGTAGAAGATCTTCAATTAAGTTCGATTTCACTAGCTCAACGATACAGACTCAAAATCACCATCGAAAGAAATAACATTAAACTGTGATACTTGCAGTAAAAACATCTCTCAGTTTCTAATTCCAGAGCCCTAACAAAACACATTTATCTCTTGTAACATAGTGCATAAATCAATCCACAACAGCAAACTGAAGGTTTAACAAAAATAAAAAACAAACATTTAGGGCACCAAAAAAGAAAGAGATACCAATTGCAACCAAACGCGAAGGTAGCGCAAATCGTTGCAGTAACGGCGGTCGGTAAGGAAAGTCTCGGAGCATTTCTGAAGAAACCGAGGCAGTTTCTCTTTCAGAAGCTGAGGTGGAAGCGTCTCCTTCATCTTCCTTATCCCACTGCTCAGAAAACAAAAATTGAAAATGGAGAAATTAAACTACATTTATAAATGCAACGAACACAGGAAAATGAGAGTGGATGAAGGAACCGATTACCGGAGCCACGGGAGGAGTGGGTCGGTCCCGCTGTAGGATTTGATGTCGGAGATCAGCGTCGAGAAGAGATTGTTGTACAGAGTGTTGCCATTGTTTGACATTGATTGAGTACTCTTTCCTTGCTGGATTTCAATGGTGTCTGCAGAATTTTCAGTGCGTGTGTTTTGGGGGCAAATGGGATTTGAATTCGTTTTGTCTTATTGGAAAATCAGGTTTAAACTAAAATCATAATAATATTTAATGGGTAAATTACAAACACCCCTGATGTATGGTCAATTTACAAAAAAAACCCCTCTTGTTTGGATAATTACTTCTACTCTTCTTAGCTATGATTTTTTCTTACACCTCCACCCTTATGGTGTCAAATTCAACATAGTTATCTAGATTTCATGGAATGTGGTCTAGTTTGTTCTCGTTTTGTGTAAATATACAGTTTTTTATGCACCACAATCTGATATTTACAAGCCAAAAAAAACATATTATGATCATCTTGCTTCAAAATGTAAAGTTCGAATGGGTTAAAACGGGTACAAAAGTGATAATATTCCATATAATCTCAAAGATTCCACTAAATTTGAAACTATAAGGGTGGACGTGTAAAAACATTTATAGTTGAGGGAGTGGTTGTAATTACCCAAACAGAAGGGGGTTTTTCGTGATTTGACCATACCTCAGGGGTGGTTGTAATTCACCCAATATTTAATTAATTAAGTATTTTAAAAGGGGTAAATACGTAGTTTGCCGGCGTAACGGCGTCGTATGGAACCAAAGCCCTTGACCCTTCAGACGCAACGGAAACGGCGTCGTATCCATGCTTTCATTTCTCTAGAAACAACTCACTCCGCCATTCCATTGCAACGCCGATCGCCGCGGCTTCATTCTTTTTCCTCACTCCACCACACAATCCATTCCGTTAAACAGGAAACTCCGATATGGTAGACCAGCCCGAGTCCGGCCCGAAATCGACCCCGCCGCCCGTGCCAATTCCCGATTTGGAACCTGATGAAGAAATCGAAGAAGATGAAGACGACGAAGACTTCGACGAGGAGGAAGAAGAGGAGTTGGAAACATTGACTCCCGAGGCTCGGATGAGAATGGAGCGGACGAATATGGATTCCCTATTCAAGCGTCTCTCTACGGAGCGGGTTCCGGTTCGGGTCCATGACGTCATCATCAAGGGCAACACTAAGACCAAGGACTCCGTGATCGAGGCTGAGGTGGAGGCGCTGTTCAGGGACGCCACTAGCTTCCAGCAGCTGCTACGCGCCGCCGGAGTTGCCAACGCGCGGCTGCGTGGACTGGATATTTTTGAATCGGTTAACATTACCCTCGATGCTGGCCCGCCGGAACTGCCTGGGACTGCAAATGTGGTCATTGAGGTTTCGGAGGTGAAAAACCCTCTGACTGGAGATTTCGGGGTTTACTCCAAACCTGAGGTATTATCATTCTCGAAGTAGTGTTTATTTTCCAGAATTGATTTTGAATTTGCTGATTGTAATTTGGAAATGCCGTCGTTGATTGGTGTGTTTGGATTAGGGATTTATAACCATTAGTACACATGAGGGTTTTGGCAACATGAAATTCACATAAAATTGGATTTAAACAAGCTTTGAGTTGGGTATGGGTATCGGTGACAATGAATGAACTGTTATGCTGCTATCAATAAACTGTCGTAGTTATGTTCATTGCTATTAGCACTATAGTGTACAGAACTTGCTTAACTACTTTTTAGAAAGCTAAACGTTGTTACGGATAGACTCACGAAAAATGGCTATGGCTGGCATCACATCAGAAGTTAGGATTAAAAAGGAAAACGTAACAATTGCCTAGTTAGCGAAATGCATATATTCATCTTTCCCTTTGATTTTGCATGTCTTATGTTGATGACTTATTTTTTATCCTTGGATAATTATTGCAACGCTTGCTCCTTCATCTAAATCTTCGCTCTGTGGATGAGAGGCTGTTTGTTCTATCTTGATTTTTATCATAACCGAAGTGTTTTTTGTAGGCTCGTTCTTGGTCGCTAGAAGGGTCACTGAAACTGAAGAATTTGTTTGGTTATGGAGATCTGTGGGATGGTTCAGTGTCTTACGGCTGGGGTCAAACATCAGAAGTCAGTACAGGAGTGTCTCTGCCCAGATTCAAAGGAATTTCTACTCCTTTGTCTGCAAGAATATCTCTGCTTTCCCAAGATTGGTTGAAGTTTTCGTCCTATAAAGAGCAAGCACTTGGCCTCTCACTCGGCCTTTTATCGTCTGGGAACCATGATTTATCTTACAATCTCTCTTGGCGTATGTTAAAAGACCCATCTCAAATGTCTTCTCACACAGTGAGGAGGCAGCTCGGACATAGTTTGCTCTCAGCTTTGAAGTATACGTTTAAAATCGACAGAAGAGATTCACCTATGAGACCTACTAGAGGACATGCATTCGTTTCCACTACTCAAATAGGTGGCCTTTTTCCTGATATTCGGAGCCTCCGTTTTATTCGTCAGGTCTTGTGCTCTCTCTTTTGCTATATTCTTTCTTGCATTTCAATTTTATATTTCAGCCATTACACCTGGAGAGGATATGTATTCGTATTGCTTGGGTCATCGTATAGTCGTACCCTTACCTTATTTTTTTTTGACTTGTCATATCTTCGTTTTGACTATGAAGTCCGTTAATTGTATTTAAGATTCTTGAATATCTTATCGTTCATGGTTTTCGGAAACATAAGCTGCTTGTTTTACTGAAACGAATGTAACACGGCCCTTATTTGTCATGCCTACTGGATATAACTCGATGCCTAGTTTACTCTGTTATTGGATGTTTTTTATGCTGTAGAGTTCGTAAGGGATTCATAGCAAATTTTATCTGTTGTTCGAGGAGTGCTGATAAATTCTAATGCACTTCTGTAACAATATGTGGGTTAATGAGCAGGTTTTTATTTTATTTTTTATTTTTTTAGAATAATGTATTTTATTTGTTTGTGATTTTTGTCTTTTTTTCTGAACAGGAAGTTGATCTTCGCTACGCTATCCCTTTGGGGTTCTATCGAGCTGCATTGAATCTTGGTCTTTCAGGTGGTGTTATACTTCCATGGGGTAGCGGATCTATGAACACATCGTCATATTTGCCAGAGAGGTTCTTCATGGGTGGAAATTCTTCTCCAGTTTGCTCCTTGAGAGGTCCCACATCTGTTTTAGGTTTCAAGGCAAGGGGAATGGGTCCTGCTGAGCCTAGGAGATCTGTAAAAGATAATGCTACCGATGGAAATGCTGATTATCCTGGAGTAGATCACATTGGTGGAGATCTTGCTCTCACTGCCTTTGCGGACCTTTCTTTCGATCTGCCTCTGAAGGTTTTCAGGGATGCTGGTATACATGGACATGTTTTTGCGTGCACTGGTAGTCTGAATAAAATAACTGAGAAAGCGTATAAGGAATTTTCGATGCAGAAATTTCGAGACTCTTTTCGAAGTTCTGCAGGAGTTGGGATCATTGTACCGACCAAGCTATTTCGTATGGAAGTGAGTTCCTCTGCTTCTAATAATTGATAATTCTAGTAGTTGGTCATGTCAAGTTTCTTATATCTTGTTGACTTTTTTGCTAGACGAATAACTTGCAGATACTGAATGTGACTTAGATTCTTATGATATGATCTTCTTTTGAAACAATTATTCCTACGAGCGAAAACTAGCTGTGTGTGTTTTATCTGCAGTACTTGAAGTGTTCTTGTGAAAAGGTGTGAAATCGGTCCAGCTTATCAGATAATTCAGATTTAGCTGTGGTGTATGTAAGAATATGAAATAGGGTTGCGTTTTGGTGGGAAGTAGTCTTTTGTGTTCGAATATATATGTCATAAGCAAGTACAGTACATGTGCTCCCGTGTTACAGGGATGAAATCATGATAGTTGATACAATGTCGTAATTTCAGATTGAAATACAAAATGGAATGAATGCAGAATGTTTGCAAACAGTCCTTTATAATGTTTAAATGCGTATTTCGTTCTGTTTATTATTATTATTTTCTTTCGATTTTTATACCTTATTTCAAGAAAGTAGTATTTGCTGACAAGTTGACATGGTATTACTCAGGTGAACTACTGCTACATATTGAAACAACAGGAGCATGACCAAGGGAAGACTGGTGTGCAGTTCAGCTTCGCTTCTCCTTTATAAATTCTTTTGGTAATAATTTGGTCTCTCTTTCTGATTTATCTGACGACATTTACTTGACCTTCCGAGCTTTTATTTTGAGAGATATTTCGGTTCCTATTGGCTACATATAACAGCTCCTAAGATCTGTAATCTTAGATTCTGGACTTGTTCTTTTTGATGCAGAAAAAAAAATAAAGATTTAATTCGACCTTTGAACATCAACAAATGTCGAATGTGCTTCATGTTAGGTCGATTACATCGACTCTATGTTTTTGAACGCTCTCTACAGGTTCTACTGCATTTCCTTTTTCTCTGAGCATTTACATGAGTGAACATATTGAGTCATTTTTTTTGCCGATATTTTTACTCGTAAACCAAAGCGTAAAGAATTCAAGACATTTTTTTTGGTAGGTCGATGATTTCTTATGTGATTTTTGAGATTTTATCGATGGTAGTGTTTAAACCCGAACACGTAGTTTACACACATTCACATGTATGTGTGTGATTGTGTGTTGCATGGGGTAAACGATACATTTATCATAGTACAGGGGTGCAAAATGAATTTTACCCAAATAATAATTCATGATAGAGACATGTAAACATATACTGGGCCTAAGGTTGATTGGTTAAAGAGGGAACCTAATTTCACATAATCATTTTTATTTATTTAATTAGAAATCCAATTGTTTATACGCATATTTAGGTCATGCGTTACTTACTACTAATGCCAAAATCTATAAATATCTTTGTTGAAAGGCTAGTCTAGGTACGGTCAATTTCTTGCATTGACCATATCAATTCCACATTTATTTGTTTATTACAAAAATGTTTCCTTACTTGTAACAAAATAAATCGAGACAAACATACTCGATACATACATGCGTATTGTACGGGACGGAGTCTCGTTTCTCTTGGATTAGGGTGAGCTCAAGTACGACCGATTTTTTTCACAGTTTATTTGACTAAGCTTATTTTAAACAGCTGACATTATCAGTTCTTACATCTAATAAGTTGTGTTAAGAGTTAACAACTTAGTTTTTTTGATTTTAAGAGTTTTTTAAAGAAAAATACCAAAGAGTCAAAGAACTTTTAAGCTCTATTATAACATCCTATTTATTTGTCTAGTCACTAATTAACGTAAGCTTAATCCACTCAATCATGTAAAAATTATACTATAGTAGAACTCAAAAGACCCTAATTGCAAAAAAATACAATTATAATTAGTAATAATATGCAATCTTAGGAACCATTAGACATGGATGGTGAGATGTCACTCACATGGGACAATTAGACGTCTGACAAACAGACAAAAATACATACAATTATTTAAGGGAGATTAATTGAGAGATATAGCATTATAAATAATAATTTACATATATAATTATGTTTTGGGTTCCCGATGGAAGAAATCGCCATTCATCCATCCAGGGGCGGACCCAGGGGGTTTTGGGTGGGGGGGCAAAAAAAAAGTTTTGGGGTTAAATGGTATAAAATTTTAACTTTGGGGGGGCTAAAGTGTATAAATTAATACATAAATAAGCCAAAATATTAAAAAAAAAAAAAAAAAAAAAAAATGGGTAAAAATTTTTTTTTCTGCAGGGGCGGGTGCCCCCCCAACAGGGGGCCGTGGGTCCGCCCCTGCATCCATCGTCGAATTCAAACCAATATCCGACTTAAGTTTTTTTTTTTTTTTTAGTAAATGAACATATTTTAAATTATATATATTTTGAAATTATTTATGAAATTCTTATATATATTATTATATATTATGTGTGTGTATAAATTAAAATGAAGGGCAGCCATTAGAGATATGCTGTTTGATCATCCTCAAAGGACGATAGATCGATCCGCATTAATAGCTTCACGATTTTCGAAGATGATTTAAAAATTACTAATTGGCAGAAAAAGAAAAACAGAGGTCTTGTTGGGGTTGACTTTACTTACATGTTGTGTGTTTGATTGGAGTTGAATCTTGCTGACCAAATTAAAACCATTCTCTTCTTTCTTAAATTTAAATTTAAATTTAAATTTAATTATGTTAATTATAAATTGAATTAATCTTTTTTATAGTACTTGCTCTGAGCGAATCAACCGATATTTAATATAAATCGGATTCCACTAATTTTTTGACATGTGGCACTCTTAAGTCTTAACTCTTAATAAATTATCCTAATTATAATTAGGGTTAGAGAGGTTACAGATTCTGCTGGAGTTTTTTTTTTTTTTTTTTTTTTTCAATTATTAGAATCATAATTATATTTTTATTTAAACTATCCACGGGTCAAGCATCCTATGACATCCGATTTTCCTATTAAAACAGTCCATCCGGCCTAAATTTGCACCCCTTGCTCTAATGCAATCTTCTTTTCTCACAAGTCACAACCATTCAAAATGCATAGCTAACCAATAATATCATAAGTATTTATATTTTAGATAAATTACGTCCACTCCATAAGGTAAGATGAAATTACGAAAAATCCTTCTTGTTTAGGTAATTACAACTACATCCCTCAGCTATGAATTTTTTTACACGTCCATTTTTATGGTGGTAAATTCAAAATAATCTTCTAGATTCTGTAGAATGTTCACTAGTTTGTACTCGTTTTGTGCAAAAAATGCAGTTTCATATGCACTACAATCTGATATTTTACAAGCTAAGAGACACATCTTATGATCATCTTGTTTCAAAACGTGGAGCTCGAATGAGATAAAATTTAGGGTACAAACTGGAAAATATTCCACATAATTTAGAAAAATCCGCTAAATTTAACATCGATAAAATAGACGTAAAAGAAAATTCATAGCTAAGTGTTTTTTTTTTTGTAAATTGACATTATCTCATGGAGTGACCGTAATTTACCTTTACCTTTTTGCTCTTTGTAAAGGTATTTCACGATGGATGACAGAATGAGAAGAGAAGCTTTTTCCATGCATTAATTTTACTTTTTCTTTTAATTTAATTAATGCCATAGTTTTAGTTTGTGTGGAAAGGGAAAAAAGGCAAACTCAAAACTCCCCTTTTTTGTACACTAATTAATTAATATCATGACTTTACTCGAAAAGAAAAAAAAATAATAATAATATCATGACTCATGCACAATTAGATAAGGGCAATTTTTTGTGTTCGGACACGGCTGTGAATTAATATAAACAAGAAGCTCGTGAACAATATAAATCTCAACACAACTTTTATTACATATATGCTTCTCTTTACAGTCCATTACTACTTTGAAATTCATTACAATCTACCTATATACATACACACACGAGCGTAGAATATTGTGCTCTCATTTTCTCCAACAAAAACCACCACACACACACACACACATATATATTTTATATCAAAACTTTAATTGTTATATATATATAGTTGCATGAATGTCATAAATGATAAAACATGTACAGATGAATTAAATTGGATTAGTTGGTGATATTATTCATACAATTATATGTATGTAGTGTATCAATTATTCTTGCTTTGCTTACATGCATATGACTAGATGGTTGTGATTCTATTTAAATACTTCTTGAAATTAATTTAATAATAAATGGATATATAATATGCAGTATATATATGTATTTAATTTATTTTCACTGAATGATCAAATCCATTTGCATGTGACTGTATTTCATAATTAACATTCATAGAATTTCTTAATAAAATGTGAGTATATACTAGTTTATTAGCATAGAATCAAACTTGGAGAAAGGTCTTGCAACAAATTACACACACACACACACACACACACGCATATATATATATATATATATATATATATATATATATATATATATATATATATATATATAGAACAAGAGACATGATCAGTAGTAATAGTTGACTAATCTGACAGTAACCAGTTGCTAGCAAGATGCCCGCCCACAACTACAAATAACAATTTGTCCTCTACTGCATATATATGTATATATATACTTACTTTCAATTATTCTCTCCAACTATGGTAAACTTTTTTTTATCAAGAAGAAAATACTTATTAAGAAGATCTGTAAATGCCAAATTGTAATTTTAAATATTCAAATTGTAAATGGCATGATATATAACTAAATAATAATAATAATAATAATAATAATAATAATAATAATAATAATAATAATAATAATAATAATAATAATAATAATAATAATAATAATAATAATAATAATAATAATAATATTTTTAATTAGTTGTTGACAATAAATACTACCAACGTCCCACCTTCAAGAAAAGACAGTTTTCTTGATTCTTGACTCGAAAATATATTTTTTGTCATTTCTCGATCACCACACACACAAAGAGATAGATTAATATATATATGTAACACACACACACACTATTATGTGCCCTAATCCTCTCTGTTAATTGTACACATATATATTTGTAAAGGGATCCAATAAGCACGCACATGCATGGAAACTAATTAAGAAATGTGTCACTCTTTGTTGATGAATTAGCTAATAAATAGTATAGTCTTAATAATTAATATAACTATAATTAATGATAGTGATCAAAAGAGAAAACATTCTGTAGGCATCAAGGCTAGTAATATTCGAGTCATACATTTAAGAATTATTATTATTTTTATTTTATTTTATAAATTTAATATTTATTTTGAATGATTATCATATGGCAACATGTACATGCAAATATGTATGTATATATATTTTATCATTATTGATTATCTTATGTGTATATATATCATCATCAGCAGCATCAGTAGTCTTCGTCTTGGTAGTTGACAGACATCATGGATCTAGAAAAGTAAATAAATGTAGAGAGAGAGAGAGAGAGAGAGAGAGAGAGAGAGAGAGAGAGAGAATTGTTGTAGTTAAAAAGGATGATAAACAAGAATTTCCAATTCCTAATTCCAACAACTCTTCCCTGATGCAGTGTTATTCCCTCCATCTACTCTCTTGTCATTAAATAAAAAGACTTAGATCAGATCATCATTCTTCACCAAAAAACCCTAATTGACCCGAAAATTCTCTCTTGAGCTCTATAATTCTCCGTAATCATATATACATATAGACACATCCATATATATAAATATACTTGATGATCAACATGCAGAAAGCTAATACTACAAACTCATCATCAGAAAGTGATGATCAAGAAGATATGGAGAATTCCAAGACTACCCCTCCAAACCTGCAGATCGAAGATGGAGAAAAGGACGAAGAAAACGAGAGCAACAGCACGGTCGAAGAGAACAACAATAATGGAAAAAATAATAAATCATCAAATAATTCGGCATCTGTGAGGCAATATATCCGCTCCAAAACTCCCCGCCTTCGCTGGACCCCCGAGCTCCACCTCTGCTTTGTTCACGCCGTTGAAAGACTCGGCGGTGACGAAAGTAATTCAATTTTTTTTTTATTTTTTAATTATCATATATAGAGCAATGATTTATTGTTATTGATATACGTGTTTTTACGATGCAGGGGCGACGCCTAAATTGGTGCTTCAGTTAATGAATGTTAAAGGTCTTAGTATTGCTCATGTCAAGAGCCATCTTCAGGTAATTTAATTAATTTATGAACTCATTTCTGGTTATTAATTAATTAGGTATAGTAATTGATCAAAACCAAATACTAACGAATATTTGCTTACGAATAAAGTAAAGTCAAATGTACAGAAGCAAAAAATTGATGATCCA